TGGGGTCATTTGACCCCAGTGCTCTTCCTGCCATGGCAGGGGGGCGGACTAGATGATCTGCTCAGGTCCCTTCCGACCCTAGAAACTATGAAACTATGGAACAAGTGTCTCGGGGGAGATGACTTACTGCGGCAGGGGGGCAGGGAGTTGCTCCACTGGCCGTTGGCCAGACACTGTGACTGGGAAGACCCTTCCAAGTGGTATCCAGTGTTGCAGACAAACTTGGCCACGTCGTTCAGGTTGAACTGAGTCCCCTGCGTCAGGCCATTGGCTGGGTTGCCGGGGTGGCCACAGGTGATGGCTACAATCAGAAAGTCCAGATGTTACCTCTTTGGCTTCCGGGATGGAGAAGGTGCACGCTTGGGCTGGAAGGAGGTGCTCTCAAGGAAACAGGCCACCAAAGAAAATAATATCATATTCCACGGCACCCGCTGCAAACACTGGGGTGGGCAGATCCCTGGTACTACCCTGATTTCCCCTGAGGAGCTGGGGCTGTACCGTTATTACTATTTTGGGAAAATCCTACAGAGTTCAACACCCTGCTTCCATAAAACCTCTCTTGGCACCTTTGGAAATGCTTGCTGTTACTCTTGTATTCACTGGGTGCCCTTAGCTGCCCTGGGCGCTTCACGGACACACTAAACTCTCTGTCCGTCTGGTGTTCAATTAGAAGTAAAAGTACCAAAGCCCATAGAGTTATATTGTTATACTACAGATTTGAAACATAAAAGGAAAATCTGGCTTTTGATATGCAGCTCAGGAAGTATATGCTAGGGGAATATAAACCCTCCTGGTCCAGGGTATAAATCAATATTTCCCTTACGGGGGAAGAAAGATTCCTTCACATCTCTCCCTGAAGCGAGTTTTGCTGGCCAAGGGGCACGATCCAGGCCAGAGAGATCGTGGGTTGGATGCAGGCTGGTAACTTCTATGTTCCTGTGATGGTACCATGATGGGGAGGTGGGGGTGCTGGGGGACTGGAGCCTGACACAACTACCCAGGCCAGTGGCAAGAAAAAGGCTAAGATGTGTTAGACATTTGCCTGGATTGCTGCTTGTAGCCCCCCACCAGAGGCAAGGCTTGTAGAGGGATTTAAAACCCCCACAAGGGGCCCTTTGCTCTCGAACATGGTAGTTCGAGAACTTCCCTTGACGGCAAGTTGAGGTTTTTCGAGCTATTTGGCCACTTAAAGAACGTGACATCATTTGATGGTCCACGACAAAGCTACACTGATTGAAGTATACAGGGCCTTGGCACGGTGGGATAGGGTAAGTTCATCATCAGAAGTCCAATGTGTTGCCACCTGGCAATGGTGGAAACTACAGGGGAAATGAAGGGTGGAAAAAAAGATCCAAAATATTTCTCATCACCTGAGCAAGACTATGGGAAGGGAACTTTCCTCCTAACCCTGGCTGGTGGCTAGGTTAGGATTTCAAGCATGGTGACCGGTGTCCTTTTATCCTTGTGGTGCCATCGATGAAGATGTCAGCCTCGCTCCAAGACGCCTGCAAGTTACTGTGAAGACACTTTTATGCAACTTTTGAACCAGACGATAGATTCTTTGCAAGCGTTAAGAGTGAAAAATATCAGCTCACACAAAGCACAATGACTGTTCTGCAATAGGCTTGAGAGAAAACAGCAACAGAACCCAGAATTATAATGGGATCTATGCAGCACCCTGAGCTCCTACATAAATAATAAAGCCTCAAGGCATCTATTTTCAGAGCCCAACAATGCTCAGATTTAATGACTTTCCATTTAATATTATCCCCAAAGGCTGCTGTAGTTTTAATTACATCAAGGTCAACTTCTGAACATTTGACACCTCTGCAGAAAGCTCATAATCCAGAGGTGAGGGTCCACATCAGCTTTTCATTGCCAGAAATGGAAATATATGCTCTGGAGAGCCAAGCAACTAGACTCCTGTTCTGGCCCTCTAATATGAAAGGTGGATTGCAAGCAGAGTCAACAAATGTTTCTACTGATCTGCTTTGTTTTAATGGTGTTGGGATTCAGACCTGCCATTTGAAGCATCCCAAGAGAAACTAACTGATCGGCAAAATGCTCCAAAGCTTTAAAAAATTTGGGTTTGAATGAGTCCAATTGGCTGAGTTGGTTTAAAAACTCCCATCAGTGAAGGATTGCTGGGTTTTCTGCAGCAATAGGATTGTGGAAGCCTGGCACAATACTCGACTAGCTGGCCAAACTGGCATCTTGGCTATTAAAGATGAACCACCTGTTCATTTCTGGATGAATCTGAAATCTGAAATTATGCACTAAGTGCCAAAACTTTACGTGCACCAGACTCCCTTAACAAGCAAAACCGAGGATGAGCCCCGTTCCTGAGCTCTGGAGCCTCCGCAGAGCATCGGCGTATGTCTCTGTAGAGCGTCAGCTTACATCTGTGTCTAATTTTTAGGCCTGCATCATTTTTATTGCTGGTCATCTCCTCCTCTGCATCTTCCTCTGAAATGGATGCTGCTCTTATGCCTCTCCACATAAAGCCCAGGCACAGGTAGGTGAGGCTGGAAAACGAACAACTGGCAAACTGTGATATGAAGAAACCGGATGGCATTGTCCACCGATAAGGAGATGCTCAACATTTATGAACGCCTTAGTCAGAACTCCAGAGAGTTATTTAATTAGCTTATTTACTGAAAAGATAAATTATCAGCTTAGGCAAGGTGACCTGAAGGAGTTTATCACAGCAGGAGGACTGATTCTCCTGCTGCTTAACATGGTGTAAAGCGGGACTAACTCCACTGATAAAGCCTATAAAGTAAGACTGGAACACATGAGAGAAGGGTCGAAATTCTGGTGCCAGGTTAATCCCCCAGTAACCCTGGCTTAAACCCGAAGTGATTTCATAGACATGGGTAGACGAGAAGCCGGTGATGATCACTTCATCTGACCTTCTACTGCATGCCAGCTAGGGGCTTTCTCCAAGAATCTCCTGCATTCAGCTTAGCAATTCATATCTGACCTGCAGCATCTCTTTTAAGCAGAGGTCAAACATGCTCCAAAGACTTCAAGTGATGGGGAGAGGAGAGGATTTGCCATTTGATTCAATACATGAGTGCTCCATACTGACGCCCGCAGAACTGAGATCAGAATACAGAAAGGCAGCCGCGAATGCCAAGGTCCCTGTGCAGAACAGACATGCCCGATGCACCTTCCTCAGTCAGAGGTGACATTGTTTAAAGAAAAATAAAACGAAAACTGGGAGATTTGCTTATTTGTTCCAATACGCACAGAAAATGAATGGCTGAGATCTCAACCCTTGTTTCTCATTGTGCACTTCAGCATGCAGGGATACTTGTGGTCATGGCAGCTCTGTGCTTTTCAAGGGGGCAATGGCAGTGGCAACCTGGATAGTTAACCAGGAGAAATTCTCTGTACAGAAGAGATCTCTCCAACAGACACTGGAATCACCATGTGTGATCAGACCGGCAACACCAAACACTGTGATTTAAGCAACAAATCCCCCACCACTGGTCATGGTTTTCCATAGAAAGGGTAATTTCTACTGGCAGCGGAAGCCAAGTGCACCCAGCTAGGGAGAGCTTTGCACTTTAGTTGCCCTTCTCCAATGCACGTGGCTGTCACTGCCCTTGCTCCAGAGGCTGCAAGATGTGGCAGGGCTTATGGCTGGTGACCTAGCCCTTCATCTATCTGTGTGTGGGCCAGGGGAGATGTTGTAGCCTCCTGAAGCAGGCAATGAATGCCAATACTGTCTGTCCTTCTATACCTCGGTAGAGAGAGCAGGTGGTGCAACAGAAGCCCAAAATGAACGGGGGAACAGCTCTCATGAGCAAGTCTGTGAATCACAAGCAAGGAAGATGAGGATTCTTGCCTCCAGAACTCACCAGCCCTGCTTCGCTCCCACCAGGGTGGCTCAAATCAGCCTAGAAACTCACTGGAACATGCTAAGAATGGACATGTTTGCTCCCGGTTCATGGCCCCTTTGAGAAATCAGATGACATTTTGTTTTCTCCCTTTCTGAAATGAGTTTTAAACACCTGGGAGGTGGGTATTCAAGTAATGGAGAGGGCCACTGGTACTGAAATCTGCCTCGCTGGGTCTCAACCCTGAGTTGCAAGGACAGACTGAAAGGGGAATAGTTTCCAGACAGACTCAAGTCTTTGCAAATCATCTGAGCCAGCTAGCAAGCCAGTACCACTTGTGACACTGGATATTTTAATGTGAAAGCTAGAACAAGGCAGATTCTTTCTAACTCATTTCTCCAGGCTGCCAAACAGACATGGGGGGTCGACTGCCTCTCCTGGAATCTGGACCTATCACTTCAACGGGGGAAAAAATACCCTCCCTCCTCTCCTGACCCAACCAGTTCTTGCTTGCTTGAGTGACTCTTTTCTGCTGTTGCTCGTAGTCTCTGCAAGAACTATGGTCTTTGCTTGCACCCCTACCCCTTACCCAACACCAGGGCTAAATAAACCTGACAACATACTTACGCACACAGACAGGAGTCTTTCCAGACCAGTGGTGGTCCTGCTGGCAGATCCTCACAGACATCCCAATGAGGCGGAAGCCAGGGTTGCACTGGTACACTACGCTGCCTCGGTAGTTGTAGTTCTCACCATTGATCTGCCCATTGACAATGGGGTCAGGCAAGCCGCAGTGCCCAGCTGGATGAGGCAGACAAGGAAAGCCATTCAGAGCTGTCTGCTTGCCTGTGCCAGTGGCATCACAGGAGGACTTGCAATTCCTGCATATAGGACTTGGCCCCAAATCTACCAAGGTCAGTGTTCCCACTGGTGGCCACATGCTTTGAGACCTGGCTTGTGGGCATCTCCTACACCATTAAAGGACCCAGTCCCTGCTATAAAATAAAATGGTAGCAGCAAATAAACATAACATATTGCTTGGAAAAGCCTTTTCCTTCCTCAAATCCCACTGATCTATTAAGCCACCAGCCCGGCTTCCTTTCAAATGTGTGCTTTCCCCGCTATGAAATCAGTGGGATTTAAGCACATGCCTAAGTTCTTCCTTGAACGGTGGGGTGGCCTCCGTGTGCAACCTACTTCAGAGCCATTTCATCACTTGACACAGATACCACTCGAGCACCTACCCAAGCATTTCACTTCCGCTCCGCTCCACAGTCCGTTAGCCATGCATTCCCGCACACGTGACCCTACCAGGGTGTAGCCGGTATTGCAAGAGAAGATGGCCGTAGCGCCATAGTCGGTTAGAGTCCCAATCTTGTTCCCATTTGGGGGTGTAGGCAAGTCTCCACAAGAGATAACTGAAAGAGATCCCAAAAGAGTCAATAGGAGAGAGCTGCCCAGGGGTATGTAGGAATGTGGTGCAGTGGGTGCACCTCGCTGGTGCACGCTACGAGGGGGACCAAGAAATTGGCAGGACTGAAGAGAACATTAGCCATTTACACGGGGAATGGGAATATCCACTGTTGCATTACAAAAGATGAAAAATACAGGGGCTATTATCCCTCGTGCTTGAGGGCATCAGTCAAGGTCTAACTGATGGGGAGGACGGAGCCTTCCCTGTGGACAGGCATTTCCATAACTGTCCCCCCACAAGAAGTCCTGCACTTTCTCGACAGCATCTGGTGCTTGTCCCTGTCACAAACAGCCTGCTGGCTTGGGCTGATGCAACATGACAGTCCCTGTGTTCTTGCATTCAGTTCATTGATATGAATCTGGTGCCTGCCTAGGACACATTTGGGCAGCCTGGCTTCCAAAGAAACACTCGAGTTGCTACCTGATTCTGTCTCATCATCAGAAAAAAGTGGCACCAAGGGAGTCCCATACTTCTCCTCTTCCGATAACTCCCAGAGGAGTTTAAAAGAGGTGCCCAAATACATTCTGGACACAGATCCAAACTGGCCCAATGCTTGTGTGTGTGTGGACCCAACATCTGGATATCGCCCGCTGTAGACCGAGGTTCCAGATCAGATCTGACTTTCCCCCAGCTTTTGTCTAGGCAGTCTCCATTATTTTCAAGCTCCCTTGGTGCCTCAGGCTCAACAGGAGATATCTGAGCCTCAAGCTGGGGGTTTTGTGTCTCTTCTATCACCACCATGATTCTGTAATTAGAATTTAGCTGACAAAGCCGTTGATGAGGTTAGAATGGGAGCAGGCTTGCAATCCCAGAACAGATTGAGCTCTGAAAAGCTAAGAGGGGTGAAAATGTGCTTCTGTCAGTGAAGTCAGCAGCTGCATCTCTAGACACAAAGGGAGTCGGGAGGGTGAGCAAACATACTATTCTGAAGGACCAATTTTTCCTGTCTATATCTGCGCTTGAAGAGAAAGAGCGAGAAAAACACCTTTTACAAAAGGCAAGGTCCAAAGCACAGCAGTGAGGTCAGGCAGGATGCCTGTAAGAGTCACTTAATTTGTTTGTCAAGAGCATTTTGATTTATAGATCTACATAATTTCCCATTGTAAACTTGGCATTTATGTCAGGCTGGAAACTCAGGCTTGATTTTGAAAGTGGGAGATGTATTTTTTTTATTTAATGCTAACTTCAGACCACCTGGGGCTAGCAGCAGCTGGGTTTCTGGGAACTGAAAGCAAAGGATGGGCTGATGTGTTTGAGTTCATAAGACTCTTCTGATTTAAAATCATGACTCAGACCAGCCTCTGACCTATGCCATGACTAATTTTCCATCTCCCTGAGCAATGCCACAGCATTGCTTGTACATGTTGTAGGGGAACGCAGCAGCTAAGATGCATGTCTGTAGGGGGAACAGCCTTGCATGCCTGGCCACCGAGATTCACCATCCTTACTTTTACAGGTTGGCATAGGATCCCCTATGCTCCACGTCCCATTGGCCTGGCACTTGATGACACGCTGGCCCGTGTAGTAGTATCCCGGGTCACAGATCAGCATGAGCTGGGCGTTGTATTGGTACTGGATCTCATAAGTCAGCCTCCACCTGCCGTGCTCCACTGCGATGCTGTTGATATCGGGGCACGTGACAGCTGAGCATAGCCACATCAAAAGGGGGGAGGAGGAGGGAAAAGAAAACAGAAATACTGGAATTAATGAACAGTTTAACTTTGGGACATCTTAGAGCTTGTAACAAGTTGTGCTAGCCCCTTGCCAGAGACATCGGGACCAGCATAGCCTGCTTCAACTTTACACTTAAGACAGCAGAATGAAGTTTCTGGGTGATCAGTGGAAGCGAGGCTTGGTAGCAGTCGATGGCAGGAAGGCACATAAAGGGGTTATCACCTTTTCCATTTAAGAGAGAGAGCCCCTAAAAGGAAGGACACTCTTTTATAGCACCATCCTCCATCCTCTAGTGCATCATGCTCTCCAGCCCCCTGTTCCCACTGCCCCCCGGAATCGCCTCTCAGAATTTCCTTCATCTGCACTGAACCTGGGAAGAGCATGTCCAGGGCTTGTAACCCCCCCCCATCAAAAACACTGACGTGACCTTTAAAGAGTGGCTTCTGCCTTGTTAGCTGAAGGCAAAACAGTCAGGGATAACATCAGCTGGAAGAGGGCAGTGTCAGGGTTTCACGTTCTAGGCCATGCGACTAGAGGGCAGTAACCCTCACTCTCTCCCCACATTTCTGCCACATAACACATAGATTTGGGTGCTCTGAGAGTCAAGCCAGTAAGAGGGGGCAGTGATGTATATTTTATTAGTGTTAGTACCACTGATACCACTGCTACTTAGAGAGTGCTGTGCCTCAATAATTTGCAGAGTTTTTTTTTTTAAACAATGGAGGTCCATATCAGTTTTCCCATCTGTTGTAGATGGGGAAGTGGGGGCACAATGAGGTAAGGTGGCATGCTCAAGGGCATTCAGGCCAGTGGCAGGGCCAGGTATAAAACCTAGGTGCCTTAGTCACTAGGCTATGCCCCAGAACAGAGATGAAAGGAGGAAGGACTTGCTAACCACCTTTGCGGCTATGGGATCACGCCACTGTGGCAGCTGAAAAGTAGGTCTGTGTGATAAAAGTGCTTGCTGAAGGCTCTATGAAGGTTAAACCAAGTGTTTTTCTGTATTTGTTTAGATATTAAGCTATAAGTTGTTGCTAAAAGCCTAATTATAGTTTAAGATGTAGTGAGGCCTTGTATAAAGTAAGGCCTAGTAAATTTAGCGAAGCCTAGAAGTAGTAAGGCCCTATGGCGCAGTTAAAATTACCTTATCAAAGGAATGCAAGGCTTGTTTTGCTATTGGTCAGTCTATGGACAGTTGAAGAAAAGGCATCTAAGTGGTCATACGTTATCAGTGTCCTTCAGAAGCTATAAATTTGCTGAAATATTTGGAAACCATTCAGAAAGAAGATGCAGCTCTGTGAAAACGATTAGTTAGCTGTTGCCTGGATCAGTGGGCCCGTGGACCTCGAGGAGCCCAAGAACTACATTCCAGGGTCCTTCCCGGTACCCCTCAGACAGCATTGCTCGGGGATGCCTAACCTCACTGAACTTTGTGGAAAGAGAAGCTTGCTGTGTATCGGTCATCAGAGGGACTGTCGATAAGTTGCCAACGCGAATTGCTTTTGTCTGTCATCGTTTGTCTTGTTATTACGCATAGTTGTGTTTTTCTTAAGTCAATAAATCTTTCTTACCTTTCTACCCCCGACCACACTCTCAATCTAAACCCTCCGCAGGCAGCTGGGGCAGCCAGGCAGGTATACTCACCCACACAAGGTGGAGGGGTGTTGCTATTACTCCACTGCCCTGTCGGGAGACACTCTGTGGTGAAGTCTTCCCCTGCCTGCAGGTGGAAGCCCTGGTTACAATGGTAGATGGCTTTGGTACCAACAGTGTACTCCTTGCCGAAGACAATCCCGTTCTTGGGTGGTCTGGGCACTCCGCAGGAGACAGCTGGGGAAGGAGGAAAAGTAAGGTTGCCTTCTGAGCTAAAGCATTGATAAACCCATTAATGAACAGAGCTGGGCCCCCACCAAAACCTCCCCGGAAACAGAGGATTCAAAGCCCAGATCGACATTTTGTAGATGATCCACGACAGCCAGAAATAACACTGCAAATCTGAACTGCTCCTAATGTCAATGTTTCTGTATCCAGATTCGAACCCACATTTGGAATGAAATGAATAAAGATCCTCAACACGCATAGTGTCACTCCAGCAAAGTCAATGGTGCTATGCTAATTCTGCTAAACTTTATACAGTGCCCAAATCACTAGAGTTTTCACAAAGCGATCTCTTTTCTTCTTCCAGAGAGTTGCTGGGTGAGACAGAACTACTACTTTGTCTTTATATCATAGCCCCAAAGACTTCAAAATAGTTGCTAAGCATTAGCTAATTAAGCTCGCCAAGACCCTTGGATTATATAATGCAGCAAATTGTGCTGGGGCAGAAGGAAACTAAATTTAGAGTTGCAGGCTAGAAGGAAAAACCGTGTAGAAGGCAAAAGATGAAATTAGTTGAACTGCCAACAAACTGCGGTGAGGCAAGAAGGCAGCTCCACCTCTGCTGAGGACCTCACTATAGTGGCAAGAGAGAACAGCCGGGTGGTCAGTGATGTCTTGAGAACAGAGACATGAAGAAGGCTGTTAGCTTTTCCATCCCGAGACACCATGCTTGACTGGGGCACATCAAGCCCTCTTGATTTCTTTAGGTCAGTGAAGGCCAAGCTTTTTGGCAGGCGCACCACAAATTAGCACCATGCCCTCCCGGAGTGTCACTCTGATCCCCTTCCTTGCCCAAGCAGCTGCTCTGCTTTTTGATCCCTGCCCTCTGCTCCCTATCCA